AATTTGTTATATCTGAATTTTCAGCCCAACTGGAAAAATTTTACAAGTAAATTTTGAAGACTGAGAAGTCCAGCTCTATAGATATCACTGTAGTATTATTTCAAAAAATACTTTTCCTAGCCCTTAAGAGAGCGCTTAGCTCTTCATAGAGATTTAGGAATCAAGATAGAAGTGTTTGATGGATGCTTGTGCAAATTAACAAGAGTGCTAAGGAGAACTCAGCAGTAGAGGACAGCAGAGACCAAGTCTTGGATTTTCTCTTGGCAGTGCTATACCTTGTGAGTAGCTCTTAGTGGTAAGCATGTCCTGGGAGACTTTTTGATATCCTTAATAAAGACACAAAAATCTCAAGCTTATGAAAACTTGAATAAAATTCAGATGAAATCAAGGAAAATATTTTTTGTTTCAATTTTATTTTTAAAAATAATTTTTTACTATAAACTATTTCAAATTTAAGTCATTATCCCCAACTTCCTTTAGAGTTACCTTCAAAGAAAAGATGCTGGACACTTGTAAAAGGGGCCAGCATGAAAGGAACTAGTTCTTTGTGACCGTGAACAATTGTTCAGATCAGCTGGCACTGAGCAAGAGAAATTATTAAAAATGCAGAAAATCAGTTTTGTCCCTTATCTTTTTCAAAACTTATTCCTCAGTTTTTTACTCAGGCTGTTACTAAGCTTAGTAATCACTGTAAGTAGCTCAAAATGTATCACTGGACACTGTTAAAATACAGAGCTGCTTTGTAGTACTGCTGTATTTTGATGTACACTCTGTCACTCTGTCACTCTGTCATCAGGATAAGGAGGAGGTAAAAGTCTCTTATTTCCCTCTGAACAAAGTGCCATGTCCCACTAACGCAGGCATGAGAAAATTCCAATGGAATGCTGAGGATCCTCAATTCCCAATAGCTTCCATAAAGGTGGGAGCAATCAGCACCCTGCACAGTCTGTCTGCTGAGCGAAAGAGCAAACCTGATAGCTGCAGGGGAGACCTCTGCTCTAAGCAAAAATTGACAAACTCTGACATAGCTCTAGCCATGGTGCACAGAACTGACAGCATTTCAGAGCAAAAATCTAGAGGTTTGTGTTCAGAGCCTGTTGTTCAGTTCTTCTGTCATTTCCATTACTTTTACCACCGATAGCTGGGAAGCATGAAGAATTTTGTCTTTAAGAAAATGGTGAATAATGGAAATTTGAAACAAAAGCATTCCTGACACATGTAGATTAGATTATTGAAAACCAGATGGTCTTATTTTACTTTAAAAAATAATTAAAAGTAACTTCATGATTTTGTTAATTAATGGAAGTAATGGAAAGTATGTTTTAATACCTTTTACTTTTGTTCACTGCTTCTCACAGTGTTTATTTTTCACTATTGTCTCTGGCCCTTTCACATTCTCCATGGTTCTGATTTTGAAGGCAGACAGCACTGAGTGTTTGTTGTTATCTTTTGTTTTTAAACTTACATGAGGGGAAAAATTCTTTTAAGCTGAAAATCTTGCTAGCATCTATGGAACTCTCTTGCAAAAAGGTTCTTTTTGCAAAACCTAAATGTTACATCTAGTTTGAGCTGAGAAAGGGTCTTGGTAACAAAAAGAAGATAGAAATTGTTTTTACAGGAGATAGTAGCTGCAAGTTTAGGCGTTCCAACCAACAGGATCATGTGTCATGTCAAACGAGTTGGTGGAGGTTTTGGTGGGAAGCTCCTGGAAGGTGGATTACTGGCAACAGTTGCTACAGTGGCCATAAACAAGTAAGTATGTGTTTGGAAGTATTGGGCTACAAGGAGAAAACTGGGTGGCCAAGTTTTGCAGCTAAAATGCTTTCTCCTTTCCCCAAGTCACTAGCAAAATCCAGACTATTCACATTTGGTAAAGTTGTCCACTAGATTTTTTTGTTGTTGTTATTCATTTTATTTTGTTTTGCTACACTGTTTTAAGATGATCTAGACTCAGATTGATGAGACCAGAAGAAATTAAGATTAGTATAAGCCAGAAATAATCTTGAAATGGTTGACCATTATCAAACACCGACCTCTGAGACTGAAGCATTGTGTGTACATTGAAAATATTACTTTATTAATCCAAGGCTATATTTAAGTCTTTCAAATTTAGTCTAAATATATACTTACATGCATTGCTAGACCTGGATTCATGAGCAAACACATTAATAACTTATCTAATTCTGTCTGAAATTGTCACTTTTGTTGATTTAGAACCAACAGAGCAGTTTGTCTTGTTCTGAGTTGAGGGGGTGATATATTAATCATTGGAGGCTGACATCTTTTTATTGGTAAATACGAAGTTAGTGCTACAAGTATTCAGTGCAAAAATACCTGCCCATGGTCTACGAATGAGATTAATACTCATGGTTAATACTTGCTCTATTAGTGAAAATAATTATAATCAATTCAAATCTAAAATGAAACCAGTAGCCAGGAAACCAAGAGATAAAATTGCTGTACGAACTTTCTTTACACTTGTTTCTATCTCTGCACTTTTGGATTCCCCTTAGTGCAAATCCTTTTCCTTCTTTTTTTCTGGGAACTGGAAACCAAATGTTGTTACTAGTTCAAACATCTGCACAGATTTATTTTAAGCCCTCCATATGTTCACGTTCAACCAAAAGAGTTGGTAGCTTTTCTTGGAAACAGTGTCATACAGGAAAACTCATCCTATGGAGGAAGCTAATCTGTTTTCTGCTCATGTGCTGTTATCAGTCTTAACAGTTTATTACAGCAAGCTCTGTCTTTTTTTTCATCTACACTGTGTAGGTAAACAAAGAAGGGTTGTACAAGCTGCCTCCCTAGAGTTGCAAATAAACTGTATCTCTTGATAAATACTCAAGAACTATCATTAGTAGCAACAGTTGAAAAGAGAGATGTGAAATAGAAATAGCATTTCTTCATTTAAAAGAAAGAAATAAAGAAAATGTTATACTCTGTCTGCCAGACATCATTCTTACAGTCAGTGAGGCTTGACTTTGTCTACAGGGAACATTGCTAAGTGACCCCAAATGCTTCTCAGTCATCTGTTAGGCAGCACACAGGGACATGGGGCTTCCCATGGGGCTTCTTCATCTGACATGGGGCTCATGTTGCTTGTTGTACGCTGCACCTATACAGATCATAGACGGCAGATGGGGAAGCCCATTGCCCTTTACTCTCTTGCCTTTCGACAGTTTCAGTGAATTGTACTGGGAAATGAATAGCACAGGATAGCTCTGATTATGTGGCTCACATTCATTTGCAAAAAGTCCAAGCACTGAAAAATGAAGGGATAACAAAATCTAAGAAGGTTGTGTTGATCTGGTGTAGGTTGGCTTCATGAATGATGGTAGGATTGTAGCTGTGGCTGCCCAATTTTACATTAATGGAGGAAGCACCCCTGATGAATCTGTCCTGGTAAGGACTTTCTAAACTCACAAATCTTACAATATGAAGGAATCAACTCTGTGCTTTCACTTTTCATCCATCATCTCCATACATTGTACATTTCTCACCAGTCCAATTATTAATTTTCTTTCCTTCTTTCTTTTTCTTTCTCTCTTTCTTTTTTCTTTTTTCTTCCCTTCCCTTCCCTTCCCTTCCCTTCCCTTCCCTTCTCTTCGCTGCTGCTCTAGTTCATGCTTATACTGATGGGTCTGTGCTTCTAATGCACAGTGGAATTGAAATGGGACAAGTGTATTCATACAAAAATGATACAGGTTCTAGAGAACAAATATTACCTTGTGCTTTATTTATCATGCAGATAAACAATGGGAAGGTTTTATTCTTGGTTACGGTGGCAGCTGAAGCAAAACACACAGAATAACTTCTTTAATCAGCACAGTTACTATTTTTTGCATCTATAGTGTTAGGAAGCAAAGGTGTTTTCATTAAGATTAAGAGACAACAGGAAAAGAAAACAGGTTATTTAACTTTTATTTTTAAGCGGTTCATGGAGATGCTTTTTACAAATGAGGTCTTTTGTGTCTGACCCCTCATAACTCATAAAAAAGAGAGCTAATCTCCAGATTAGTATGCAAGCTAAAGAGATGAGGTTGTCGTCTTGGTTTAATGAATGATTGAGACATAGCTATAAAGAGATTTACCATTTCCATGAGCCCTTTGGATCTGGGCCTGCATGTTTTGCATTAAGTCTTACAAGAAGTTCTTACAGGAAGTCATCAACAAGATCAGGTACTTAACTCTGTACTGACAGACTCAGCAGAATGGTTACAGCTGGAGGTTGGTAAAGTACTTGGAGAAGCTACAGGGGAGCTGTTGGAGTGTTTGGAATATTCCTGGAACACACGAGGATGTTCTTCTTCCTGAAACAGGTTGCTAGCCTGGAGCTGAATATCCTCATGTTATGTATTCACTTTTGAGAAACAAGCACAACAACTATTCCTAATGCCTGTGCCTCAGCGGGATCTGCAGGGACAGATGTCAGTGGAACGGCTATGAAGGTAAAGAGCAGGATTTAGTTTAACACAACTCCTAATATCCTGTGGTAGTTAATGCCTGCCAAAATTTAAGAATTAGAGATCTCACAGAAAACACGTTTGGGATCAAAAATAATACCACTGGAGATTGCCAAGGAGAAACATCATTTTTTGACAGTTTCTCAGTAATGGTACTTGTAAGTGTTCAGATATAATCCAAACCTTCCTCAGAAGGCTTAGATGTTTGACTAAATCCTTGTTTCATCTAACAGAAATGATTAATTTGTCCTCTACTAATCCTATATCTTGTCCCTGTTCTAAATTTACTGATTCAGGCTGATTCCGGTCCTTACAATTTAAGTCTTAATAAGGTTTTTGTTTATGTAGTGAAAATAACACCTCCTACCATGCTCTTTCAAACTCAGAACACAGTGAGACACATATTACATTTTAAATACCACCTAAGACATATCAAATAAGTATTAAATAGTACCAAATATATATTTGTTAATGTTGTATTCTTTTCTTCCAATTTCTCTCCTGATCAGGATGCTTGCTAAACTCTTCTGAAATGCCTACAGCGTACCATCAACCATAACCCAAAGGCACCTGGAATGCCTGGGTAAGAGTTGTGAATCATATGGGATATGGTTGTGACCTGCAGCGACTGTGATATTGGTATTGTAGTCTGTTGCTTTTCTCAGTCTAATAAAACTAAGACCTGCAGGAACAGGCTGATTCAGCATGTAGATGCTTGATCTTGGTATGTGACAAACAACACTCAGGTCACTTCTGTTGGTGGGTTGTGATCTGTAAAATTACGTTTGAAATTGCTGAAGTTTTTATTATACAGAAAATAACTGCTCGTGTGACCCACTCTGGATTACCTGCAGACAAGCTGTTGTAAAATGTATGCCAGGTTTTATCTGTATAGTTAGTCTTCCTATCTGGCTATAGGTTCTTTATTTTTATTACCAAATCCATAATAATAATAAAAAAGCTTTCTCAACCTTTTTCCTTCTATCTATCTTCTATATGCAGTGTATTATATAACTGCAAGAAGGTATTAGGAATCCTTGTTTCCATGGTTCTGTTCTATAATTAGTTATATAATAATCACTTTTGGAATAGGATAATACAGAAATAGTGCTAAAACTGTTCATAGAAATAGATTTGCCCACTCAAAACTGCAATCGAGTTTTAGGACTAGTAACTGAGTGTTCTTAACTGTAAACTTTCTGCATATATCTGCCATTTTTAGCAACATGTGTTATCAAGGTATGGCATAGAATCCAGCTGTACGCGTTCAGATGTTGGAGAGCCTGTTCCTTATTCTGTTTAGTCAATACTCATTTACAGCTGAATGAAAATGATAATCTCTGCCAGGAGGCATTTACAGATCTAGTACATCCACAGTGGTGGTTCTCACAGTATTAAATACCATAACAACTGTGAAATTTTAAATTTGGAATTATTTATTCTCATCGATACACTTGATATTAGAATATGTGTGGTGTCTTGATAACTGACAGCTATATATGCAAAGATACACATAAAATACACATCTACTCTAACAGGTAAAAATTAATTTGGATATTTCAGGCACACTCAAAATATTAGGAGCAATAGCTGACCAAAGAAATAACATTAATCCACATAAGGAGGTAATCTTACATCTTGCAAAGTCAGCAAACAGCAATTAACTAAAAGTAATTTTAAAAGATGTCCTGATTTGTAATATAAGCAAATCTGACATGAGAGTCAATCAGGAGGGAATAGATTTGGATCCCCATACTATCATTTATAAGCCGCTGGCATAAGAACACTGCAAAGAGCATTTATCTTGTCAGCTGTGGTGTCTGCACATAAGGTCGTGCAGATCTCTCCCAGTGATTTATCAACCAGATCTGTTCAGCTGAGAGACACCCATTTCTTTTGAACTGAACAGGAAAATCAAGCAGGGCCTTTTCTGACTCCAGCAATAAAGATTTTGCAGGAATAATGTTATTGACAAGTCTATTCATTACTGCATTACCAAAAAGAATCCAGATTGCTCCTCCAAAGGTGGCTTAGTGCCTAAGTATTAGGCCCCATGTGCAGCTAAACATTGTGCCTCAGTTGGTCTACATATCTCTACCAGTTTGTTATGGTTTATTTTTTTTAATAAATACATTTCTACTGTGTAGCTTTCTGAATCACTGACCTATTACAAACACTACTGTATTCAACAGATTAAAGAAGCTTTTGAACAGAGTGTGAGACTTTCAGCTACTGGCTACTTTAGGTAACATATTTTTGTCTCTTAAACATGCATGGGCTATAAAGGATAAACTGATTTCTGAAGATATCCCATGCAGTGCATAGGAGATCTTGTCCATTGGGGTGTGTTTTTGTTTTAATTGCTCATCTTATGTTTTATGTAATTGCTTAATATTTGGAGATTTGTAGTGCATAGTGTAGTGCTCATTCAAGTGCTCATTCATGGCTGGCCTGAATGTGTGGATTAAGTTTTTTTTTTCCCACCAGAGGTTACAATGAAAATAAGAATTGGGAGAAAGAGAAAGGGCAGCCTTTCACATATTTTCTTTATGGAGCTGCCTGTCCAGAGGTTGAAATTAACTGCTTAACAGGAGATCACAAAGTAGAAATTAGTATCTCATAAGTTTTGGCAGTAAAATAAATGCAGTTTCACTGGACTTGCTTGCATTACTGATGCTTTGAATAGGAACCTGGACAAAACTGTCTCTGGAAGGGATTCTTGAGCAATGTTGTTAACAAAGACTACTTCCACTTCATTGTAAGTGTTACCTGATTATCTTGATAAAAATCTGTACATATACTAAACATATACTGTTGGGTTTTTTTAGACTGAGCCTCATTAGGCTGTCTTCTGCCTTTTAGGTACTGCATGGAAGCTAGAATTATCAGCAAATAAACATATATGACACTGTGACTTCATGAGCTATGAAATAAGGTTAGGAGTGACAAGTAGTGAAGACTTTTTGTTACTTTTAAAAATGTTAGAAATTTACCTACTCAAGGAGCTAGATAAACAAGAGGTTTAAGGCTCTATAGGCTCTAGCTATCCAGTGGTAGCTATCGACACATTCATGTTCACCACACAGAAATGCCCACACTTAGATGAACTTTGCCTCCTAGTTTTATTTCCAAGAGAAGTGTTTATGTAACTACTCACCCTCAGCACTTCTGCTCTAAGAGAAACTTAAACTCGTAATGTAAGAAGTGTAAGAATCCCAGTGTGTAGATGGGTGCTGCCATGGGGAGCACAGCAGTGTCATGGCTGGTGGGACCTATTACAGTTTTTGCTTACAAAACCTGGTCACTGAATAGTCCTAACTGCTTGCATTGTGGTAGGGCTCTGATGTGCGTTAGAGGCTAAAGTGCAAAAGAAGCAGCATACCTTTTAAGAATTGCTTCCTTTGATTCTAAGGAAGCACAATAAAAGATGCAGGATTGAATATTTGTCTTGCAAAGCCAGATGGGCTCACTTATTAAATGAAGTAAAAAGAGACATTTGTTGTAATGTATAAAAATGGTAAATGAAACAGACGTACAAAAGTACAAAAGTTTTAAATAACAATAAAGGCTAGCTGTGATAAAGCATTTTGGAACTAATGGCCTTGTTTCCTGGATCCAAATCAAGAATAATTGATAAGAATCTAGAATCCCAACCAGTATTTGAGATTCCAAGCTCTAAATATCTAGCATATCTGTAGTATGGTCATCTCCTGATAGCATCCAGAGCAGACAGGCTGGTAAGGTGGGAGGGCCTAGAGAGAGGCAGTAGGAAATGTTAAATGCGTGTGTAGTAGCAATCTTCATTCTGATAAAGTGTGGTCACTGAGCAGGAAAAAAATCTAGTTAGTTCAGGTTAGTAAAAGGCTAAATGAGAAGCATGGCTCCATACTTTGCCATTTGACACCCCCAAAAAAATGAGCATTGCTGCCCATTCTTGGTTCTAGCTTTAGACATTCTTACATATTCTACATTCATCAGTTACTGGATAACACAAAAATCATTTGAATTATTTGCTACATGAAGGGCACCGGGTGGTGTGGAAAGTTCTCCTGCTTCAATTAGTTCATTGCCTGGTATTTTGGGTACCCTATCAGCATGAAGGTGATTAGGGTTTTAATCCCTCCTCCACGAGGAGATTGAAGTGCCTGTTGGAGTAGGGTGAGGGAGTAGCTAGATTGCAGCGTTACTGCGTGAAAATCTACTAATTGTTCGGTAACTGCATAGCCCATGCTGGCTCCTCCCTACCTTCATTTGATGCTACGTCTGAAAATAAATTCTGCGGGATACTAAGCAACCTCAGCTGCCCTTAATGAGTGTATAGTGTTTCATTAATTTCCTAGTGCTGTGTACTGCTTTATTTCTTCAGATTTTAGTGCCACAGCATGGCTTCCCCCCAAGAATCAGATGAGCTTGTCTTTTTTGTGAATGGCAGGAAGGTAAGTTTTTAAAAGTGCATTTTTGGTAGGAACTGCTTCAGCGGTTTATTTTTATATAAAAAACAGGAAAGCTGTTAATTTGGAGCAGCAGTTCATTCACAGGTAATCAGCTCTTGTCTAGGATCTTCCTTACAGCATCCTTCCTTTCTGCCAAATTGGACTCATGGATTATTCCTAGCTTTGCCTTGTGCCTTTATTGTGAATATGAATATTGGATTGCTTTATAGTTTCAGTTCAAGTTAATTTTAAATTTGTCTTAAGACTTTTTATTGAAATTGAATCACAACTAAAATTTCCTTTGAAAACCTTAGGACTTTCAGTTAAATGAGGAGGAGTAATTTCTCTGAAATTTCAAAATCTTAGCTGTGTAACTTAACATTAAGGGGCTCACACTAGCTCAGTATTTTCTAGGAACAAATAAAGATCAAAAAATGTATGTAGCTTCAGTGACTTTATCATCCTTTATATCACAGAATTATTTTAGATTTATAGTTAGTTTAGCTATTTATTAAAACCTCATACTAACGTGTTTCTAAAATCAGTGTAGTGGGAGTAATTAGATCACCAGTAAAAGAATAAGATGCAAATAAAATTGACTTTTTCTCTGTTCTTGATGTCAAGACCTCATATTTCATTTTCTATGACATTTTGTCACCTTTTGTTTCTTTCCAGTTCAAATGAATAAGAATTCCTATTAAGAAACCAGCCAAATTTAGTTAAAAAATCTGAAAAGGAGTTTTATCTCTCTCAAAAAAAGCTTGATATGTAGTTTTCTAGAGCTTTTTTGTAGTTGTTCAGTCAATGTTTTTTTTACTATACAGACAGCATACTGCCTTTTTTTTTTAACATATCTGATTCTAGATGAATTAAGGAAAAAGTGGTTTTGTCTGTTGTATTTTACTTGCTATTACTTGATAAGCTGTGCTTAAAGGCAGAAAAAATAAGATTTTTAAGGCAAATGGTGCTATCTTATTTTTTGTATAGCAGTATTATGTATTATTGTTGTTGTTTAGCTGATAGCCAATATATTTGCTACTTCTTCATTGTAGGTGAAAATGCTCCAAAGACCTGAACTTTGCAATTAACCTTCCTTGTAGTTGCATTCCTTGTAATGCAATTTCCTCTGTTCTGTGGTAAACATTTTACTGCAGTTCTATTAATCCCTCAATGCCACAAAACAACCTGCGGTTATTTCACTTAGCAGTTCCAAACAAATTCCTGGGTTTTTCTCATGTGTTCTTATGTCTCAGTTATATGTCTATAAATAAGTTGGAGCACGCTGCTGGTGTAGCTGAACAGCCTTCCTTCTGCTGTGATGGGTTTTACCTGTTTACAAGCCTGTGGTATCTTGTCTCCAGCATGTCCAGACTTACTGATGGCAGAGCAACATTCCTGAGATAAGGTAAGGCTAAGGCAAACTCCACTCAGACACAGAAGAACTCCACTACATTGAAAACATATTTAATTAAACGTGTTCCTTGCTCTTTTCATATACTGCACTAAGATTTTCCTCTGTTTTTATGTTGCTTAGTCTATGCAAAGGAAAGGGTTAACAGGTTAAAGGGGAAAGGATTGAAGGGTTAAAGGGAAAGGGTTAGCTGAACTTCAAGAAAATAAAAATACACAGAGTTTTCTCACAGACAAGTCCATTGCTTTAAAATTAAGGGTCTGATTCTATTTTACAATCCCAAGAATTGCAACTAACACTATTATGAATCAATAAATAATCTAGCCCAATAAGTCTCTTCTTTCTTTCTTACCCTGTTTTTACTTTTTCTACTATGTTTTTACTAGTTTCTTTTTCAGTTCTCTGAATAAACCTTTATTTCTATTACTTTAAAAGGATATATTTGTCGATTACTGCCAAACGTGTTCAGATTGTGATCAAGAAACAGGATCCTGATGCTCTGGATTAAAAAGTGATATGCTTGTACAATCGCAGCATTTCAACACCATAATTAATCCTTGTGGGAAGATGCTAACTCTCTGTGCTGTAATCTCTCTTTTTAAAAGTATTTGTATATTTTTTTCAATACCATAGGTAACAGAGAAGCAGGCAGATCCTGAAGAATTGCTCCTGTTTTATCTAAGAAAGAGGCGTATCCGTTTTTTGAGCTTTGTCTTAGAGTTCTGTAATTCTAGTTAAATGCTATAGTACAATACTATAATTGGGGATTATTTGTTTCACTTTTCTTTGGAAATCAGTGTAAACAGAGCAGTAAGTAGGAGTAAGGCAACTCATCCTGTATTTATCCTTGGAAGAACAATACAGTGCTGTATGTGCATTTTTTGTGCTGCACGAGCGTAACTGTTCTAAGCCCTGCCTGAATGGTCCTTTACAGCTCTCCAAACCCACTTAAAAACTTTTCAGTGCATTTATGAGGACTATAGTATTAAAGAAATCAATATGGAACTACTCCCACGTTAAAACATTTTAGGCCCCCGTCCCTCAAAGAATTCTACATAAGCTTATCTTTATTTTTTGTCACTTGAGGCTGTTCAGGGGGCAGGTTCATAACTGGTGTCATAGCAATATTGACTTCAGTGGCAATTATCCGAGCTAAGAAACAGCCATGCAGGCTATAAAATTAAGCAAGTGGTTTAGCTTTATAGCTGAGAGCCTTCCATAATGGAAGCAAAACAGAATTAAAGGTGAGGATTAATTGAGGAAGTATTGTAATAGAAATACTTTATTAGCTGTAGTAAAAATATTTTATTAGTTGTAGTAATGGTTGCATTGCATTGTCCAAGCGTTCAGTAGAATAAGCAACTCTAATAGTAAAGCACCGGATGGTTAACTTACATATTGACACTAGCGGCAATGCACAAGTGGATAAAAATTTCTTTAACCGTATCCTTTCCAGTCTGTCTCTCAGGAACAAAATATGGCTGTGGAATAGGAGGTTGTGGTGCCTGCACTGTGATGATATCCACATACGACCCAGTTGCCAAGCAGATACGGTATCCTCACACTGATATTTGGAAACAGTAAATTACTCTTTCCAAAATGCTCAGATTCACTGGGAAATATACAGTTTATTTTCATTTAGATGAATTTCTAAGGCATGTAGTACATATTTAAAAGCCCTAACCTGTAGCCTTCCTCCATATAGGAGATTACAAAGCTGGCCTCATTATTATACAGTAACAAATCATCATTTCCTCTCTTCAATCTTTGCAAAAATAAAACTCTAGAGAGCCAATATTTTAAAATTGGAATGTATGTAATTTGAGATTTCAGCAGCCCTTTTAGCATCTGCCTCTGTTTCTTGAGGAAAGCTGTGCAGTAAAGCTTTGTCAGGTCTGACCATAGGCTTTGAGTTTTAATGAAATACATGATACTATATATATTTTTTCTAATTAGTCCTATGCTTCTTTATTTAGGAAAGCTTTTTGCTTAAAGCCTATTTAAAAAAAAAATACCAGCTGTAGGAGCAGGATGCACACTGTCGCAGACAAAGTGCAGGATTCTGTGTGCCTGCAGCTCCTTTTCCCATTCTCCCTTTGTTCAATGTAAACATTTATAGATTAGATGGAGTATATACCCTCTGTATCCTCCTCCATGACCCCACACATGAATGCTATTTAACAGTACATTTCTCCTTTATACCTCAAAGGCATCATCCTACCAATTCCTGCCTGCGACCCATCTGCTCACTGCACAGGGCTGCTGTCACCACAGTGGAAGGGGTTGGAAGCACTAAAACCAGGATTCATCCAATTCAGGTGAGAGCACACCTGGACTGTGTAGAGCAGAGAGCTAATGGCATTTTTCCAATTTCTGTCTAATGAAGCTGGGATCTGTGAGAACACGCAGGGAGTCTGCACAATGAGGAGTCTCTGAAGGGATTCTAGGGAGTCTGGATTTTGTTTTCTTTTTAGATAAGTGTAGAACAGGTGTTTCTTATAGAGATATAGAAAGGGCAATATGGAATGTGGATGGAGTTTGTTCTAATATACTGCCATGCCGGGGCCATATCACAGTCTGCACAACACAAGAATATCCCTACCTCACCATATGGGATGCCAGCTTTCAGAGAGGGAAGGGAAAAAGCAACAGCATCAGTCTGTTCCATTTAGTGCACCAGAACGACATCTGGTCAGCTCATTAAGAACAGCCTGTTGCATGTGCTGCAGTAAGGGATGAGTGATTTCAGGTGGCAACTAGATTAACAGGTATTAAATTAGACACAAGTATTCCCTATGTGACAGAGATTTCCCTTGAATTAGATCAGCTCTGTATTTCTGCAAATGTAGGCTGTTCTTGAAAGCACAGTCTGACTACATAGATTTAAATATATTTTTTAAACATCCTCTCTTTTCCGAAAACTGTTTTCAAAGAGACTTGACTCTGGAAGTAGTCTCCTCTGAAGCTCTGACTGATGAGATATTCTGGATTTTGACCTTAATGGCTGGAAATATTTACAGTGTGGGTAGATATCTAAACAGAAAATAGGACATTATTCGCACAATAAGGGTTAAAGTTATGAGGGTATTATTATGAGGCAGTGTTGTCTTTCAGATGACAGCACTCATAGTGCTTTTTTTCAGGAATGTTCATGATGGAATAGCCAAAATGCTGCTCCTGACCTATAGCCTGTAGGTGACATACCTGAAGATTCAGGCACCCAGTGAAGCTATACACTGGAATCAGGACTTCTTTCTTTTTTTCTTTTTTCCTTTTTTTTCTCCTCTTTCCTTCTAGGAAAGGCTGGCAAAATGCCACAGCTCCTAGTGTGGCTTCTGCACCCTGGGAATGGTGATGTCCATTTATTCTTTACTGAGAAATCATCCAAAACCTTCCATGGAACAGATCATTTCTGCTCTGGATGGTAAGTTTCAGATAGCAAGTTGCAAGAAGTATAATAAAGGGATAAAGTCTGATTGCTGAGGTCATGGTTTGACTCAAAGAACAGTAGATGATATTTCAAAATGGACTCTAAGGACATCTCAAATCCATAAAAAGGCAGTTCAGACTGGAGATTTCAGATGGTGTGCTTGGTAGCAATTAGCACTGGCTAAATATTTCTGAAAATCTCTGCATTTAGGCCAGGTTGCTTTCACATCTATCCTACAGCAGCCTCAATAGAATGCAATATGACATGAACGTTACCAGGAAAAAGTAGGCTCTTTCTACCTGCAGTGTAAGTACTCACCCATCAACAGTGTGAAGTGCCTAATACTGGTTTTAACAGACAGTGGCAGGGGAAATAGATTAGATGACATTTTAGCCCATTTAATTATTTAACTACTCTTCAAGAAAGATTGACCCCAATAAATGAAAGGTTTCAAATCACTTCTAGGCCCAAGTTTCCTATCATGCCAATACCTCCCAAAATAACTGATCCCTCCACCAAGTAATTTTTGACTTCATGGAAAAAAAATGACAGAACCTCAAGTAGGGACTTTACTACTGCTGTTAACTGTACACAGAAACAAGGTAATGATGAATGGCAGTGGATTTTTGATTGTATTATAAAACCCAAGACTGTAGTACCTAGTGGTGGTCATGGTTTGAGTAGTAGTCACATGTACCCTTAGATGCTTTTCATAATTTTATTTCTGACACACATTCATGACATCATAAAAATAATTCATTATGCTATTAGAAATAGTCTTTTAAAATATATGTATTTTAACCATGCATTACAATCACTATTAAAAGAATGTTTCACATTTTTACAGGTGTCATTTTGCCTACTGGAGATTTGAGAAACAAATTTCAGCATGTCTCATCTACAGGTTAATTCCAGACCATTTCCAGATTTGCTAGTGCTCTCAAACCTTATCTTTGTCTCTTATGACTCAATATTATGTTGTTTATTTCAGGTAATTTGTGCCGTTGTACAGGATACAGGCCAATTATACACAGCTATGCATCTTTTGCTGTGGTAAGTCAGTGTTTTCAAAATGTTTCTTATTTTGGGACAGTTGGTCATACCTGAAAACGCGGAGCCTCCAGGACATGCCTACCTGAAATCTGGCTTCACCTGAAAACTCTTTTTGGCTGAGGCTTTGGAAAAGCTGGTTCATCACTTCTTTTGGTTTTCACATGTGCTGAGCACTTAGAGCTGCCACTGACTTTAGGTTTACATGTCTTGCAATGCGCTTATGAGTCCTTTGCATCAGCTCCAATGGTTTGATCCAGGCACCACTGAAGTCATTTCAAGTTTTTTAATTTTTAACTTTTCACTTTATTGATAAAGGTACAGGGATATACAAAAGGTACTCATTCCTGGGACCCCCATGATTTAACGGGTCTCCTGGACCAGCTGATCCAAAGAACAAATTTGTTCTTTCACTTGAAAAAGGAAAAGGAACAGAAGGCTTGGAAAAGGAAGAATAAAACAAAAGAAAATGTCATAAAGTGGCCCCACTGCTTTTGTAGAATAGTATATGGTTTCTTTAGGAGCCCAAGCCTTGCCAACTCAGAGGAACTGGACAGTGTTGCTTCGATTAGGAAGAACATGTGGAATCATCTTCTACAGGAGGTCAGGTAAGATGCTTTGGAATATTTTTCTTTTTTTCTTTTTTTCTTTTTTTTTCCATTATAAACTTTGTAGGAGAGGGCCATCTTGAACTATGGCAGAAGCTACTTTTCTCTTCTTGGGCTGTTAGCCCAGAGTGAACTCCATGCTCTTGGTGCTAGAAAAAACTAGCACAAGCATATCTGCCTTGCCATGTAATCAGAAGTAGGTCACATAGTGGCCCATTTAGTGACATTTTCCAGTGAGTGTGTGGACTTCCTTTAAGTCTTCTTTATTTTGAGAGAAAGGAAACTGTTGATCAAATCTACCTTGATGAAAAAGGCCGGTCCTGATCTAAAGCTGAATTCCACTATTAGAAGTTCTGCAGCCATCAGCATGGCTTGTTTTTTTGAGTGCTTGGGACACTAAATCTGAATTTCTAAAGGTGAAGCAAAGCTATCAATGTGCACCATCAGTTTGTATTCATAGAGCTTTCCGTATGCTTTGCTGTGTGTTAATGGCTCGAGTATCTTCAGGAAAGAGGTGTCTCTTTTTTGCATTCTGCAATACTTGATATGTTGGCATTGCTTCAAAATAGTAAGAAAAATGTACATTGTTTTATCGCATGCTGCATATGAAAGATATTGCACAGACTAAAAATCTCAAGTCACTGATATTTCCTCTTGCCAAGGTCCCCCAATTACTACGTATAAGGGTACAGATGAGGATTTCAGTACATATAAGGTCTTCAGAATCTGAAATGTCTGGCCTTCAGAGCAGTCCTCCAAACGCTATGGGTCTATCAGAACTTGTCTTTGCCCACTTTCAAGAGGCCATAGTGCCCTAAAATGACTCCGTATAGCTACATGATGGGAAGTGGAACTCCCTGAAAGAAAAGCTTTAAGGAGCCTTTAAAGCACACTTCTCAGAACTAGAAGGTCTTCAATGATGGGAGGAGAACTTGTTTTGACAGCAGAAAAACCTCATAGACCTGAGGAGTGTAACAGGATGCATGTATGTGTGTTTGTGCACATATATGTACTGTAATTTCTCATTTAAGAACCAAAAATTGTTGGCCAACTGTTGCCAAAGTTACTGTGAAACATAAATCTGGCAATGCAGCAATTGCTGGAGAATCTCGTCTGTTGACAGAGGCTTGTAAGTTCCTGTGAACATAAGAATTCTTTTTTTTTTTTTCCCCTATTTATTTGCAGATGTGTTCAGGTCTTTGCAATCCAAAAGAATTCCAGCCCATCGATCCAACACAAGAATTTATATTTCCTCCTGAACTAATGGTGAGTGAACTAAGCACTCTTCTTTCTTATCTTTATTTATCATCCAAGGATGGCTGAGTTGGTACAGATTTAGAAATTTTGTTGGATTTGTGAAATTGAATAATTTATCCGTGGATAACAGAAAGATCAGTCTGAGTAAAACATAATGAGGTATTTTGCTTTTGATAATTTTTATGTCATCATTATTATATTTCTTTTTTTTTAAACTCCACTCCTGTTTCTTCTTTTGAAATTCCTTCTTTTGAAATTCCACATTTGCATGCTTAATGCAAATGTTCTCAGGCGATTCTTGCTGCTATTACACAATCATTTCAAGGACACAAAAGTTCATTTGGGGCCTAAGAAAACATAAGCTGGTTCTTTGATTTGTTAGAACATTCCATAATGTTCTTTGTGTGAGGTAGCTGACTTTGTGAGCACGCAGAAATAGAGGACAACTTCCTTGTTTAGTGCTGGCCTTCCTGTGCAGAAAGTAAGGCATAAGCTCCTCTGTGAATCCTTGAAGTGGAAGGCAGTTTTGTCTTGACCTGCCTTTGACTGATCTTTGCTTTAAGGCTGTGTGTATTAAATGGGCCTTTTGCAACTTTTATCCTTGGATTAAAGATCTTTGTTAAACTGTTGCTGGCTCAAAAAGCAGCTCTGCCAGAAACGAAATGGTGCTGTCATCTATTCTGAATGTTCAGGAGAAGACGACTGTTTTTCCAGGCTACTAAAGCTCTATAAAAGTGATTTATTTGATTGATTCCATTACTGGAATACTGTGGGAGTTCCAAGCAGTCTGTTAATTTGGACAAGCTGGCCACTAAGTGTTGTGGTTTAGAAATTAAACCTGTATGGAGAATATGCTTTTAAAAAATAAAAAAAATAAAAAATAATAATTAAAAAAAAGAATATGGAATGCAGCTGTGCAGGCACCTGTACAGTAATATTTAGTGACAGTAGCAGTAACTTTTGCATGTGCTTCAGGCAACTCCTTTACCTAGAAGTCCAGTCCATAGTGCAACCTTCCTCTGGTTTGTCTGCTGGCCAGTTTGTTCATTGCTTTGTTTGCAGAGACAGGTGTTTCTCAATGTTTATTTTTCCACATTCTGAAGGTCTGATTATATAAGACACCTGTTGAATATGTAAGCATACTGATATCTGATATTTTCAGGGAAAGAAAGGGATAAAGCATTACATAACAGGCTGGGCCTAAGACATCCTTTGATTAAAAAAAAAATGTGTATACCCATCAACCAGTTCAGAGAGGCAGTTTTTCTGAACAGATTAGTCCTTACAGACAAATGGGATGGCAACTACAAAATTTTATGTATTGTAGAAATTGTTTGGAGATAGTATTGCAGATAAAAGGCTCTCAGCAAGTGGGGATGCAGTGATCCTGCTTGACTGGCTCCCACTTCGTGTATTCTCTCACATATGCAGTGAGATTTTGGGATTCTAGTCTCCTCAGAATTGCTCTCCTGGTTACATTGGTTGCTCCAGTCACATTGCTGTGTTGCTTTTACTGTGTACAGAAGAGTCTTTCTGAGTGATTAGAGCAGGAGAAAGGAAAACATAAGACTAATCTTCCCCGCCTACTAATTTAGTGTTTCTCTTACCAAGTCATTTAGCTGTTTCCTGTCTCAGTTTCTCTAGCAATAATACAGGTATAATAAAAGCTCAGAATTGTGCAGCACAGCAGGAACCTCAGATGATAAGCCCTATTAATGTCTCACTGTCTATCGTGACACTATTAAATATGGTGCTCCATATGGTGCTTTATATTGACATTAGTCAAAAGTACAAAATCTTTGTCATCTCTACCACAGAGAATGGCTCAAGAGCAGCAAAAAACCCCTCTGATTTTCTGTGGCAAGATAACAACGTGGATTTCTTCCTCTGGCCTGAAGGAGCTTCTGGAACTGAAAGCCAAGCATCCAAAGGCACTTTTGGTTCTGGGGAACACCAGTGTAGGTATAGAAGGACAAAAGACCTCTTGACATAGTAATTATATTATCCAGTGGGTATGTAATTCTGTATTTTATCCTATAGGAGTCCTAAATACACCCTAATGTTTGTGCTTCAGTATGTAGATCATTTCCCCCATTTTTTTTGCATCATGTCAGCAGCTAGACTAGTACCACCACCACCTGAGCCCAGGATATGGGCTGCCAGTCTTCTCCCAGTAGCTTCAGAGAGACTATTTTTGTGAATAAGGAAGGACTCACTGACACAGGTGCAAACCTAAGTTTCACATCCACTTTAGCTTGAGCATAACAGAAGAATGCCTATAAAAGGGCAGGATAATCACATATGTCATGATATCCACACACTTAGTAGTTTCAGCGTGTTATGGGCAATTTTTTTTGTTATAAATTATCACTAACCTTTTAGTTCGAGAGAGTAATCAGTTGGAGGTATTTGCTAAGAGCATTTCCTTCACTGCTGGGCAGCAAGGACACAAACCCAAAGAGAACCTTTGGGGGTTTATAGTTTCTGTGCATTGCCCAGCAAAGTGTAAAAAGCACTGAGTAATGTCATTTTTCATTAAACAGATTTCTAATGATGTTATCTTACCTTTCAGGACTCAACAAAAATGTCAGTGCTGTCTCCCATCCACTCATTCTTTATCCTGTTAGGATTCCAGAAATGTATGTTGTGAGTAGGACAGATGATGGTAAGTCTCCTTACACTCAGATGGAAAGTTGCCTTTGCAGATGGTACAAACGGTGATAACTGTGTTTTGCTTTTAGACATCAGAAGCAGTAAAAACTGTTGATTATTACTGCAGTGAAATGTTAGTCATTTAACTGAATATGACAGCTCATCTATGGTCTAGAGACAATGGGTGCTGACAGACAAGTTATAAGACTGTTCTGCAAAAATACTTCCATTGAAATCTCAGATTTCTACAAACAGCAAATACAGATAAAAGCCTTAAATCAGCCTTACTATATTATTTTTGCAGGGGTGATATGCCCTTCTATCACAAACATGATTTGAAAAAGTCTGAAGTTCATGTAGAATTTTGATTAGGTTAGGGTTAAATTGTCAACCTAAAATATTTAGACATAAAGTTCAAATCCAAAATATCAAAAGATTTTATTTAGAATAGTTGGGCTGTTTTCTCAGCTAATAGAAATGACCACAGTCATTAGAAGGGATGTACTAATGTACATCAATTGAGAACCCAATCCAACAGGCACATCACTGAGTGAGTGGAGGCGTCTGTAGCAAAATTATGAAATGTAGCATCTCCTTCATGGAAAGTTAAGTTATTAAAATTAGATAAATTAACATTTTGTTATGAATTACTTTCTCTCATTACGTTTTCCTAGCTGTTTGATTTACATTTTAGGTGGCGTCAAATGAATTGTAAACATTTCCTAATTATTATGTATTAGTGCAATGCTGCATTTAAGGACACCTCAATAAAAGATTGCTTTAGGGTATGGCCTTTGTTCAGAAAAAGCTCTTTAGAGGCTTTTCTGCAGGCTTCCTCCAGGGTTCACTGACATGAACTGACATACACGTACGTATACAGACATGCATTTTACTCTCATTTCTCTTTGCTACCCTGCTATCCATCTGCGAAAAGCTGTGTTCAAAAGCAAACGTTTAGAAGCCTTGTGAGTTGTATAGCTGTCGCATTTATAGTATGGTATTATGATCTCATTGTCTAAACTAATTTGATTTCAGGGCTAGTAATAGGAGCTGCCTGCAGCCTGGCCCAGCTTAGAGACATCCTGATGGAGACAATCCCAAAAGTACCAGAGGAGAAAACAAAGGTTTTTCAAGCTCTTTTGCAGCAGCTGAGAACTCTAGCTGGAGAACAGATCAGAAGCACAGCTGTATGTATTCAGCAATGACAGTGTATTAGCCAACACTACAGACACAGCTGTATGAATGCTACTTGCGAATCTGTGGCATCAGAGAGAAAAGCTGGGTGTGGCATATAAAAAGAACAAATACAGATCTTAAAAATGAACAAAGCAAAAATATACTTTTCCAGCAGGGCTTTTAAATAATTAACATGGGATTACGATAAAGATTCCTGTTATATGTAAGAAGGACAAACTTAAACAACCTAATTGTTCATTATAGTCTTTAGGAGGACACATTGTAAGCAGGGGATCAGCTTGGGATTTGAACCCAATCTTATCTGTTGGCAAATCAGTCCTCAACTTGGAATCAGCAGGTAAGATGGGGACTCCCTGTCAAATATCCTTTCCAGGTGGGCAGAGCAGTGCAACAAAAATATGATTGTAGGTGACAATTTCCAGTCATATATTTCCATAAATTTTCTATCATAAGTTTCAGTCTTTGCTCCCAAAGAATTTTGCAGTCTAAGATCAGCTCTGGAATAGAGCTGGCCATATGCTCAGTAAGACCATTGCACTGCAGAACTTTGGCTTTCCTGGTATTTTTCCACTGAGAATAGCACTCGCTGAAAATTTGAGCTCTTCTTGTCCCTTTGTATTCATTTAATTTTAATGATAGTATTTTTGGAGGGTTATTTTCACTCTAAGATTCTAACATCCTCGAATGTCGAGGTCACTTTCATGCTAAGCTTTGGCTTTCTTTTTTTTCTTTGAGTATTCAATGGAATTTGAGTTTGCAAAGCATAAGTTTTTTCTTTCTTGCTCTGCATTCAATAATAGATTGCTGTTTTCTCCAACAGATGGCAAACGACAGATTCTTTTAAGTGGTGAGTTTCTTGCTGGCTATGAGCATGCAGACATTAAGCCAAAGGAGGTCATTGTCTCTGTTCTCATCCCATATTCTAAGAAGGTAAGGTCTCTGGTGCTTTTTTTTTCCCAGATTATTTTTAGTATTTTAGGTGTATGGAGGTATTGCATAGCCTCATCTCTTAAAGAAAACCCTGAAAAAGATTAAAAGCATTGTACATTTCAGTCTAAATATTGGATGAGAGAAGCATTCAATGCAGCTTTATACTAAGCTAATATTTGAGTGATATTTCACAGATTTCATTCAGGTCCCAGTGTAGTTACTAGGAATGTTTCCATTATCTTAGTGGACTTTGAATTTGGCCCCTAAACATACAGATGACTGCTGCAATGTAAACAGCTCAGAGGCTCTGTCCTCCCGGTGTCACCTCTCAGTTACAGCTCATCCAGCCAGCCATGATCTTCTACTTCTTTGTGGCCCTCACGCAGAAATTTGGGCTGTCTGAATCCTCGCAAGAAAAAGCCCATGCTGTCATAGGGTGGTCAGAGCAAAAGTTTTTCTGGCCTCTTCTCACTAAATAATTAGTGATTTACGCTCGGAGCCGTCTTGGGACTCTCTCTGGGACTACTCACAATAAATGTGTTATGAGGAAGGGTGGCAGAACCTGGCTTTGAGAGGCAAAGGAGATTGTGTCATTGATAACTGTGTTCTTAGATATCCCTCTAGTGGGTGTGAGGAAAACTACTGGACAAGGAAGGAGTACAAGCAAGTATGTTGGGATCCTAGTCAATGAGGGAGTGACCATAGGAATCTCTGACAGTCTTTCAATAGGAGAGTGAGCCAAAATAGCTGACCATTGCAATAAAGCAATTTGAACTCCTCTTATGCTGGAGGAGTGCTGTTGCCTCTTAGAGGCTGGCCATAGATTTCCTATGAAAAACTACACGATTCCATGAGCTTAAAGTTCTTAGTAGCCTAATCTGTGCTGGTACCAACAAGGGCGCTTCTGCTGCCAGAAACTCTGAGTCTTAGTGGCGATTTGAGAGACAAACAGGCTGGCAGATAAAATGACAGTAACACTGTAAGTGCTACTGGAATACATGAAAATGGGAGATAAGCGCATTACTCAAAAAGGCACTTCAAAGATGAGAATTAGCTGTCAACAGTCACATGCATAGCATGTGATACTCAGCAGCCTCACTACAGGAAATTAACTCGTCACGATTTCTTGGTAGGCTGTTTCTGTTATTCTCTTTCATTTGAATTGCCTCTTTGATTAGTTTTGCTGATAAATGAAAATGCACATGCACGCTTCCCCCCCCC